TTATTTATCTTTAAAGTAAGGATTTTGTATTCTAGTTTTTGTGGGAAATTTTATCTAATTGGGTTCCCTGGTGGTTCAGCAGCCAAGTACTCAGCTGCCAACTAAAAGGTCAGGGCTTGCACCCACCATCTGCTTTGTGGGAGAAACATGTAATAGCTTGCCTTCTCAAAGGTTTCCCACTCTGGAAACCCCATGTGGCAGCTTCACTCTGCCAAAAATCAATCCAATGGCAGGGAGCCTAGATTTTCTCCTGTTAACCACTAGAGGGCATTCTCATCCTTAGTTTTTGTGTTGTTTTTCACTGTTGGTCCAGGAGTTCTGGATGCTTGATCTCTGGAATTCAATTTGCATGCACAGGAGTGGGGTATAACTGTATGCAGAATGGTTTGGTTCACCTTTCCTGTGGCAAAAGTGAGAGGATCTAAGTCTTTCCTTAATAGCACCCCAAACAGACTCTTCTACAGGGAGTAATTGCTGAAGTACTATTCTCACTGTGTTGCCCTTGATGTGTCTCTTGTTCCTAGTGCTCATATACCTCAGGTCTCAATGAGAAAGCACCATGGTCTCCCTTCACTCTTTTCCAATTGCATGGCCTGTGAACTTCCACGGCTAATCTATGCCACCAGGAGAAATATCAGATGATAGCTTCCTCAGGGTAGCTCCCCTTCTGTCTTCCCTGTCTGGAGTGTTGCCCAGTCCTATCTGAACATGACTGGGATTAGTAAGTGCTCCATATAGTGGGAAGGTCTTCCTTTCTCCTGCTTCTGGACTCACCCTGACTTTCTAGTACCTCAGTTACTGTCTGGACTTCTGAATTTCAGTCAGCATTTTTTTCAAATTCATTTTTCAGTGAGTTGATTTTTAAGAGGAGCATATGAGAGCATCTAAACTCACTCTTGCCCACCCTCTAAATATTTCTTTTGCAAGTTTACATTATACCCCTCTTGAAGATACGATACCAAGCAAGAAAGTAAAAAAAGACAAAAAAAGAAATCAATCAATCTTGTGGTTGTTGTTGCTAAACTGCTATTGAGACAGCTACTACTCATAGTGACAGTATGCACAACAGAACTAAACACCTGGCCCTGTACCAGCCTAATAATTGCTATGTTTAAACCTGTAGCTGCTGCCACTTACTCAGTCCATATCATTGGGGATCTTCCACTTTTCCACTGACCCTCCACATAACCAAGCATGATGTCCTCTATGGACTGGTCCCTCCTGATAACATGACCTAAGTATTAGAGACAAAGTCTCACAATCTTAGCTTCTAAAGAGCATTCTGACTGTACTTCTCCCCCCACAGATTAGTTTGTTCTTCTGACAATCCACAATACTTGATATATTTTCCCAAAATAATTTCAATATACTGATTCTTCCACAGTTTTCTCATTTCAGTCTTGTTGCTGTTGTTAGATGCCTCCAAGTTAGTCTGATTCTTAACAACCCTGTACAGGGTTTCCTTTCCGATGACCTTAAGGTTCAACTTGACCTTGAAGTCCAGTGCATTATCCTGCAGTGCCACATCAGGACTCCATTTCCATCTTGGTTGTTGCTGTTAACTGCCATCTAGTCAGTTCTGACTCATAGCGACTCTGTGTAGAGTTTCCAAGGAGCTGCCAACCTGTGTTTAAACTGCCAACCCTGTGTTTCAAACAGACCTTTCAGTCCAGTGCTTGATCCCACAGCACCACACCAGGACTATTTCAACCATTGCTTTTGTTCTTGTTAAGTGTCATTGAGTCAGTTCTGACCCATAATGAACCTGTGTATGGTTCCTGAGAAATGGCTAGTGGGTTTAAATTACAGACTTTACAGTTCAAACTGACCTTGCAGTACAGCACACTATCCCACAGTGCCACACCAGGACTTGTTGTTGTTAGGTGTCATCGAGTTGGTATCGACTCATAGTGACCTTATGCACAACAGAATGAAACACTGCCTGATCCTGGACCAACCTCACTATCATTGCCATGCTTGAGCCCACTGATGCTGCCACTTTGCCAATCCAACTCACTGGGGTTCTTCTTCTTTTTC